GTGTGAAGTTTCTATCGTGTTTATTTGCATTGTAAATGAGGGTGCTTGGAGAACGAGTAACAGAGATGGGAAAGACATAGAAACATGTTTAACTTGGAAAAGATTTGAGCTACTTTGAGTAATGCTGACATCATTCCCTCATCCTAAGGTAGACTTGAGTCATTGTTGACTGCTTTGTAATTTGCCACTGGACCTTCCAATGTAGAATTTCCCAAATGGAGATTCGTGGGGGAACTGTAAGAGGTTTGTGAGTTGATGAAAAGCAAATTATTAATCAAATCATAGAAATATAAAAATATAAAATTATGAAAATACAAAATACATTTTATGTTTATATGCATTTACTATTATATGCATTTAATACAGTGCAGACCTTTTAGATAAATATTATAGTAATAGGCAGGCCGGCTGACAGTCTTGCCTGGGCCTGGGATGAGATACATTTTATGTATATATGCATTTACACTGTAAAAAATACTGTTGGTTTAACTTAAAAAAATTAGTAACCTGGTTGTCTTAAAATTTTAAGTTGATTGAACTGGAAAAAAGTGAGTTAATACAATGAAGGAGATTGATTTAATCATCAGAAACTCAACTAAATACATTTTAAATTTAAATTTTAAGTAAATTTGGATTTGACAAAAGAAAAAATGTTGTGATAACAAATCTTGGAAATATTTTTTTACTGTGGCATGTCATGTGACTATTAACCGACTTGAGAAAAACTTTGATCATGCAATTGTGTTTTTACATTATTTAAATGTATCTTCTCTGTTTTAAACATTTTAGTTAATGGGCTTGAGAATCCATGTTATGGTGTAATGATTGTAGTTCTGGACCTCGGTTTTCCAGGAGTGGAAAACTTTCAACTAGTTCAGTCTAAGAGGCTGGTTTCCGTGACAGAACGTTGAATTAAATGAAAGTAAATGAAAGGGTCATTCTAGACGCTAAGTTGTGTAATGCGTTGTGATGAATGTGTTTCAGAGCGTGAGTACTGGGATTCTGGTCTGCAGATCCCCACAGCAGACTTCCAGGAGGTTCTACATGATGACAAGGCTGCTCTGGCCTGGCTTGAGGCTCTGCGACGCATTGGCATCGTCTACCTGAGGGGGGCTCCAGTGGAGAAGGGCCAAGTGGCCAGACTGAGCCAGAGAATCGGCTATCTACGCCTCACCTTTTACGGGTATGTTCTGTAGCTTTGGCTGTTCTCAAGAAGCAGTGCAATGTCTATATTTAGATTGATTTAACAATTGGAGTATTGAGCAAAGACACAAACAGAAGTTGCAAATACAGTGCAGACCTTTTAGATAAATATTATAGTAATAGGCAGTCTGACAGTCTTGCCTGGGCCCGGGATGAGATAGCCCCCCCAAACTCTTAAACCAGCAACAGTTTTACATCAAGCTGCGACTTATCTTTTAAATTGACAAACATATGTGTAATTCAGGGCACAATTCAAAAGAGTATAAAAATATTTGTTGTCTCTTGCCACAGACTACCATACAATATTTTTCTGAAATAAGGTCCCATGGTAGTCAATCGGAAGGGCAGGGACTTAGGCTGTCGGTCAGCACCGGACTTGTGCTGACCGGATATTTGGAGCATAGTACTGAAAACATCAAATTTTGCAGTGGTCACACCATGTTTGTGTTGATTAGGAAGAAAACAAATAAAAAGCTTTTATCTAACTCAAATATTACATTTTTTTCACAAATAGGCCTATTTTGATTCATTAAAAAAATTATTTATGATTTAATGAGGGCCCAGTTGTTTTGCCCCCTGAAAAAAAACAAAAAAACATCTTGGTAGTTCTTTGACTGCCTATTTGTATAATGCAAATGTATGTAATCTGTCACTGGAAACTATATGAAAAAGAATTATGCGCATTCCAAACAGTGGTTGCAGGCAGTACAGTACAGTACCATTTCAGAAACTGTTAAACTGATTTTGAACATCTGTGACTGTGTTTACACCAAAAACTGGGCAAAACTGCCAATTATGCCAGAACTGTCATTCTCACTCCAAGATCTACAAAAAAAGCCAAATAACCTGCTGCAAAGGGCACAACCCATCAGTCATGGAAAACGAAATATGGTGTATGGTGTAAGTAATGTGGTCTGATCTTTCACCTTAATGCTTTACATCTGGACAGTTTTATAATTGAAGGAAATGAAAAAGTCCCTCAACCCACAATGTCTGTTGAAAACGTGGTAGGGGGTCTGTAGTGGTGTGGGCACCCATCTCTTTAGGTATGAGGATTCTTTCCAACGGCCAAGGAATACAAGGCCATTTAAAGGACCTGGGCTGCGTCCCAAATTCCATACTCTCTTGAGTACGTACTTTTGAATTAGTTATAATTTCATAAAAAAGTATGTTCTATATAGTTTGATTGTGTGTAGTATGAATGTAATCTAGCAGTGTTACATTCGCGAGGTTCACTATTCGCTTCACTGTCATTCACAAATCCTCTCCCGTGGCCTCATGGGATAGTAAAGTGCACGTCAAAGGCACACTTCAGAATCTCGCCAAAAGTAGTTGGTCATCAAGGTACTTTTGCCTACTCCTTAACTGTATACGTTTTGTGAATTCACACATATTACTTTTGTCACATAGTGTTTTTCACATTTCTGTTTTCTGTTTCAGGAGCCCTGGTGTTTTGGGGGCTGGTAGTTTGTAGAAATGAAATAATTATTAAAATAGAATTACAATGTAAAATAATACATTTCTGTTTTAATATAACATATATTGAAATATAATTTAATCCTATGTCAGTTAAACCTGTTCCATTTTCTCTAGATTTACTGGAAGATGAGAAGTGAGCCCAAAGTCAAACCATTTTAAACCAATACAATTCTGATTTATTTTTCTTGCCAGACAACAAAGCCTTTCATTAGAACTTACAGAGACAAAAATATTCAGGGAGGATGAGTGTATGGAAATCACTGCCTGGGACAGACAGACAGAGGATTTAGAGAGAACAGAAAGAGACACGCCGTGAGCTTCTGGCTGTAAGCACAAAGTCCTGCATGTGAGCTCCCTCTCAGCTGACACCTGCTGAGTGACAGGCTAAGTGATTTAACGCCATGCTAGTCCCAGGAGCTCTGTCAAACTGGCCAAAAATCAGCTTCACCTGACCCAGACTGGAACAAAAAGCATTGTATCTGCCAAATAAAGACTTTATTGGCTAGGGATCATCTGGTTGAAAGAAGAGACCATGGTGTGTCTCACATGGAGGATTCTGGTCTTACAGTCTTAACTATCTTAGTGAGACTACTAATCTGTCTCATTTCAGTTTAAAAAAGCCAAACTACTGCACCTCTCTTCCACGATTCCAGTTCCTTTCTGTTGTTTTCAGTTTGATAACAGGACAAAATTGATCTTTTATGTAGGTCCTATATTTCTCTATAGGTTTGTGCTAACAGTCAAATAGTTGAGTCAAACAGTCAAATTTCAAATAGTGTCTCGTTAGGGGCTGAATCAGTCTGTTAGTTCTGCTCTAGATGAGCAAACTTAATACAATAACTACTGTAACATCATTTCATAATCTAAATTTGCTTTTTTTATTATTTAAGTACTATAGAGTACAGTGAAAAATGTGTTGTCTCTCATATGGTACACTATTTTTTTGATTATTTAATAAGGGACAATACATATTTAATTATACATAATATGTAAAATGTGACAAAAAATTATATAACTATGCACTTACAGTACTGCACTTCTAAGGATATTTTGTCATCCAGCTTCACAACCCCTCCCTTTCTGTTACATAATTAGTTAATGAAGTGTCCAACATTCCACACTTCATTTTTTTTTATTAAACTTTTCAGTTAAATAAGTGCATCCGGGTATAGAATATAAAAAGTAAAATTTTTCATACCTCATTTAACTTTTTAAAGCATAAATCTAACAATTTGGGCTTAAAACAAGAAAAACAACTTGTCATTGGGGGAAATAGTAAAAAATAATATATATATAAATATTAGATTTATTTTATGAAAATAAGTTTTATTATCTTAACACAGTTTTGTTTCTGTAAGTAAATATATGTTTATTAAAAAAACAGACACTTCTTCAATAAATTGTTACATTTATTTAACTTAAACTTTAACTTTTTTTTTTTTGCAGTGAGCAGGTTCATCAAGAATTCACCACCAAAAAAAAAAAGTTCTCGCAGTGTTGCCATAACAAAAGTGTCTGCTTTGTTCATTGCAGTGATTCCTTAGTCTTTAAATTTACTCTCAAGATGGTACTAAATCAAGAAAGCATTTTACAGCTGTGGTTTCCTACAATAAATACACAGAGAGATGCAGTAAAACTTTACAAGGTCATAGTCACCTGTTGTGATCCACTGTCCCCCCCTGTGATTTCACAGACACACGTGGCAAGTGCAGGACAAGCCCAAGGCTAACAATGTTGCGTACACTTCTGGAGAGCTGAGTCTGCACACAGATTACCCTGCTCTGCACCATCCACCTGGGGTGAGTACTTGTGTGTGTGTGTGTGTGTGTGTGTGTGTGTGAGAGAGAGAGAGAGAGAGAGAGAGAGAGAGAGAGAGAGAGAGAGAGAGAGAGAGAGAGAGAGAGTGAGAGAGAGAGAGAGAGAGAGAGAGAGAGAGAGAGAGAGACTTTTTTTGACTTTTAAGCTTCTTTTAATTTACAAACACTTATTTTTTAAAAAAACTATTAATATCACATTATACAACAAAACATAAAAAATACTACCTACATATACATAAATAGGATTACCTACTCACATTAAAATTATTGTTCATAACATGATATCATAACCTCTCTCTTCACTTGGTTGACATAAAACACCTTTAGTACCCCACACATAGAAAAAAGAGTCAATATTATTTACATATTCATAAAACTTGTACTCCAAAATTAACCTACTTTTTACCAAAACCTTAAACATATGTAACGGATCAGTTTCTCCATCAAAAAGCGCTTTATTCTTCCTTGTCAGCCAAATTGCCATCTTAGCCTTACCAAACAGGAAATTTAACAAGACTGTTTGTATCTTGTTTGAGGCACTATATTTTGGTCCAAAAACAAAAAGTCCATTTGAAAAAAGAAAACCAAAACTGCAACTCAATTCCCCTAATACAACAAACAAGTTTTTAAGCCTTGAACAACCAATAAAAATATGAAAAACAGTTTCTGAAATTCCACAAAAAGAACACTCTTGCAAAGGATTCAAACGTGCCTTATATCGATTTGTTGCGATTATCCAATGTGAAATACGCCATTGCAAATCTCCTGTCCGTTTTTCAATTGGTTTCTTATATAAGGACCTCCAACTACCTTTTGGGGAAGTACCAGACTCAACATATTCAGTCCACTTAGTCTCAGGAAGTTCTTTTAACGCTTTTAAATTTAGATATTTTACACACGCACAATAAAGAGCTTTCTTAGAAGTAGGGGTGGGCGATATGGAAAAAATATCATATCACGATTTTTTCAGGAAAATCACGATCACGATTTTTTATCACGATTCTTTTTCAAGTTGCTTTTAATATTTTGCAAGTTGCAAAATTTTCTTAATTTACTCTCTCAAGATGTTTTAAACCCGAATAAGTTTCTTTCTTCTGTTGAAAATAAAAGTTATTTTGAATAATGTGGGTAACCGAACAGTTGCTGGTCCCCTTATAGTTTTTTTTTTATAGGTTCTCTCCTGGAAGTTAATGGGGACCAGCAACTGTTTGGTTACCCACATTAAAAAAAATAATTGTCTTTTGTGTTCAGCACAAGAAAGAAATTAATACAGGTTTGGAGCAACATTAGAGTGAGTAAATAATGACGGATTTTTTATTTTATTTTTTTTTTATTTTTTTTTTTGTGAACTATCCCTTTAAGGACAAGCGGCAGTAATATTTATTCCTGTGGCTTTTAGACCAGCACGCGACGCGTTTAATATAGACGCATATTACACCAGATATTGTCTCAAATGTTTGCTTTCACTTTAGACATAGCCTGTTTATGTAAACATTGTGTGTATTTAACAGTATTAGCGTAATAAGACTCGAGAGATAACTTAGTCCAGTATTCAGGCGCTGTTTGACAGACTTCAGGCTTCTAGTGCCTGTGAGCGTCGGAGGTTATGCGGTCAGGAAAGCGCACGTTAGAAAAGCGCATAAGCGCGTGAATTAAATGTTTAACCGGCAAGGCTTATGCAAATAATGAACTTTTGTGAATTGCAGTGTCCCGTACCTATTCCTTAACGTGTGATCATGTGTAGGCTACGTCGCGTTGTACAGTTGAGAGACGGAGGCGCCAGAACTGAACTGATAGAATGCACTGTAACACGATACTACGATATTTCTTCAAAAGCAGATCGTGGAGACATTTTAATCGTCCACGATTAAAAATCGTCATATCGCACACCCCTACTTAGAAGTACTGTTGAAAAAAACCAAGTTCAGGTGTCCTAAAAGAGAGCAGACTTCCCTCAAACTCCTGCCACTCTCCTACATCCACAGCCACGCTGACCTTGGGGAAAACATTCTCTGACTCCTCAACTTTTAGTGGTAGAACAGGAAAGGAGACTTGAATTTCAGCCAACAGTTTTTGCAGAATTCGAACAGAATGGATACCAGTCTTTAAGGCCAGTTCTTCAGCAGTAATCCACTGGTCATTCGACCTCAGATGGCAAATCTTATGAACTCCTGCTCTCACCAAACTTGCGCGCACAGTCCGTGACTCCAAAATCGCACTGGGTATGTGAGAATTGAAAATTAAAGGTTCCTCAAGACCCCAAAAATTCTGTGTTTCAGAAAACTCCCTTTTAACAGTAAAAATCTGCCATGCATTTAATACTGAGGCATAAAAAGGTGGGAGCCCACTGAGATCCATCTCCTTTAAATTCATTAAAAAGAGATGTCTATCCAAATTCAACCATCCCACTCGATTTAATAAAGCACACGCCACTGTTATCCAGCTCTGAGACTGATGATAAAGTAGTCTCTGCGCAGTTTGTAGTCTAAAAGCAGCCACTTTAGACTTAATACCCATGAGGCCTTGACCTCCTGCAAATACAGAACTGACTCTCGTAACCAATGTTGTCCAGACCAAAAAAAATTGACAAACAATTTTTGGACTCCCCCAATAAAATCTTCTGGTGGATTCAAAGCAATTAATCTATGCCACAGGATAGAGGCGGCGAGATTATTTATAACCAACACTCTTCCTCTATAAGACAGTTGAGGCAAAATCCAGTTCCAATTGGACAATCTGGCACAAATTTTGTCCCTCACACCCTCCCAGTTTTTTCTTTGATAGTTTTCAGAACCCATAAAAATTCCTAAAAACTTGAAACCAATTTTTTCCCACCTAACATTTTCAGGGATAACTGGTAAAGGCATTGTTTTCTCATTACACCAAAACGCTTCTGTTTTACCCCAGTTGAGCTTTGCAGAAGATGCTCTCTCATACAATCCAATACTGTAATTAATAATATCAATATCTTTTTGTTCCTTCACACTTACAGTAATGTCATCAGCATACGCAGTCAGTTTAACAGAATGCAGATCATCACCAATCCTTAAACCAGACAATTCTTTTCTAAGCAGACATAAAAGTGGCTCCACTGCTAGAGCATAAAGCTGACCTGACAGAGGACACCCCTGCCTGATACCCTTCGGTATGCTTATTGGTTGACTTAAACCACCACCAATCTTTAAAATAGAAGATACATCCATGTACAACAATTTGATCCAAGAAATGAAAACATTTCCAAACCCAAATGCATGCAATGCATTTGAAAAGGCTTTTTCCTGATCGAGGAACAAAAAACCTATATTCTCTTCATAAAGTTTAGAGTAGTCCAAAATGTCTCTGATCAGAAAAATGTTGTCATGTATTGTTCTACCTGGAATACAATAAGATTGGTCTTGATGTATTATATCACCCAAAACACATTTCATTCTATTGGCCAATAACTTTGCTATTATTTTATAATCAGATGTCAAAATTGATACAGGCCTCCAATTCTTTAAGAGACTCATGTCTCCTTTCTTAGGTAACAAAGCCAATACTGCCCGTTGACAACTTTTAGGAAGTAGTTGATCATTAAAACATTTTTGAACCACCTCATAAAAGTTTTTTCTGATGATCTTCCAGAAAGCTTTATAAAAGTCCACAGGCAGTCCATCAATTCCAGGTGAACGACCAGTACTCATCTGTGTTACTGCCTCAGTTAACTCCTGAAAGGATAAAGCACTGTCCAGAGTCCGACTCTGCTCTTCAGTGATGGTAGGAAGCTGTTGTAATAATTGTAAAGTGCATCCATTGTCAGTGTCCTCCTTTTTGTATAGGTCTGAATAGAAATCCACTGCAATCTTTCGCATTTTTCTTGAATCACAAGTCTTTAGTCCATCTGGTGTTGTTAAACAGTACATTTCATTTTGTTTCTTGAATACCTTCTCTAAATTAAAAAAATATGCAGTGGGAGCATCCATGTCATGTATAGACATAAACCGCGACCTTATTAGGGCACCTTTAGCCCGAACTTGCAATAAAGTTTCAAGATCTTGTTTCTTTTCAGCTAACTTCCCATCTAATGATGGATCTGAATGTTGAATCATTCCAGATGTAATTTGAAAGATCTCTTGCTCAATTTCAGCTATTTGTTGTTTAATTTTTCTAGTAGACAAGAAAGTATATTGCTGACAAAAAACTCTTATTTGGGTCTTTCCAATCTCCCACCACTGTATCAAACTTTCAAAATCATCCTTTTGGGAGACCCACTCACTCCAAAACAATTCAAATTTTTCAACAAAATCTTGGTCTTTTAACAGCGCAACATTAAACTTCCAGTAAGGACTTTTACATTTTTGATTTGTCAAGGCAATATTTACTGTGATAAAATGATGATCCGATACACAGCATGGAACAATTTTACACTCCATTAGCCTACTCTAATATTTTCTTAACGTTTAATATAAATCCGGTCAAGTCTAGCTGCACTAATCCTACCTTGTGAAACTCTTGTCCATGTGTATTGTTTTACAGTATTATTCTTTTCTCTCCAGACATCTATAAAATCATTTTGAACAAGAACACTTTTCAAGGAAGAAGCTGATACAGAATCTGGTTCTTCATTATTTCTGTCCAAAATAAAATTGAGAGTACAATTCCAATCACCACCGACAACTATAAATTCATCCAGTGTAAAACTTTTTAAAATATCTCCCAACTTTCTGTATAACATCGTTCTATCTGTGCCTCTATTTGGAGCATAAATATTGATGAAAACAAATATTTGATTATGAATTTCAACTTTCACAATCAAAAGACGCCCTTTTTCCAGTTCTACTTTTGATAAAATATTAACATCAAGATTAGCTGAAAACAAGATAGCTACTCCAGCACTGATATTTGTGCCATGACTCAAACAACTTTTCCCTTCCCACCACAAATTCAGCTCAGATTCATTATTGGGATCACTATGCGTTTCTTGTAAGAATATTACATTATTGTCTTTAAGTCTAAAAAAATCAGATAGTAAAGCTCTTTTTCCACTATCCCTCAACCCATTCACATTTAAAGATCCCACTCTCAATAACTGCATTATAGGGGAGAGAAAAAGGAAACAGAAAAAGAAATAGCAGAAAAACAAAAAAGAAATAAATCCCACAGCCATGTGCTTTTATTTTTTTCGTTTTAACAATTTTGCCTGATCACTTTGAGCTTTACGTACAGCCGTCATTAATTTTTTCAGCCTAAATCTTTTTTGTTTCGAAATCACATCGTACCCAACAGTCTTCTGAGCAAACATTACCGATTTAACAAATTTATTACTGTCAGCGAAGTACTTCGAAACATCAACTTTTTTCCCTTTAGTTTGATCCAGAAAATTATTCAATTCTTCCACAGAATAAACGTCAGTCGTTGACTGACTGTAATCAAACTCAGACCCTTCAGCGCCGCTATCACCTTCCTCCATCTGCGCCTCATCGCTGTCTTCCTCAGGTGTCACGGCAGACTGCACAGCCCCAGCACACTCATCCTCTACACCAATATAGCTTCCCTATCCCTTACCGAATCAACTACCTCTGTCGGAACATTTGGGCCCCCTTTGTTTTCACCATCTTGATTAAAAACATTAAAAACACTCACCTCTGATTTTGAACTGTGTTCTGAAGCGTTTTGCTCAATTGAGGATTTAGCCTGGGTTGTTTCGCTGGGTTGAAGAACTCCACAGGTAGAAACAGTTGCCTCTATATCCTCCACTAGAGTTTCCTGCCTCTTTTGTTTTTTTGATGGAATCATTGTTTCTTTTGTGATTTTGAGTCTTTTTTCTTTATCACGATTTTCAATAGTCTCAGAGCAATCTACGTGTTCCTCAGTATTTCCGTCCTTCACTTCATTCTCCGTCTGTTTTTTATGCGGGCAAGTAAATCTCTTATGCCCCAAATCTCCGCAATCAAAACAACGCATACTCTCCGTTGTTGCGAAAATCATGTACGAACTATCGCCGTGCTGTATGCGAAAAGAGATTTCCAAAGTCTTAGACGGTGCATTTAAAAACATGAAAACATGTCTTCGAAAAGACAACACATGCTTCAATGCAGCATTTTTGCATCCAAGTGGCACTGCTTTGATGGAACTGGCAAACTTACCAAACCGACCAAGTTCTTTGGCAATCTCTTCATCAGATATGAATGGGGGCACGTTCGAAATCGTAACTTTAGTAGCCGGTGCGCGCAACGGCGTTACCTGCACCAACGTGTCAGACACAACAATTCCGTTTTCCACGAGCTTGTTCACTAGATTTTCCCCTTTCAGGAAAACCACAACAGCCTTATTCATTCTAGAGGCCGAGACAATTTTTTCATGTCCTACAATCTCTCCGATTGCTAGTAGAACATCTTAAACGTAAACACTTGATCCGTAGCAATTTTACATCTATTCTTGATTGAGAAACCAGGCGTTCCCTCACCCGAGGGAGACGCCATAGTTTTCTAAATCAACAACCGTATTTTTTTTTCTTTTTCCAACTATTTTTTCCCAAAAAGTATAAAGTGTGATAAAGAAAAAGAAAAAAGAAAAAGAAAAAAACACCCACCATATAAAGAACAAATTAAAACCGGGAAAAAATTGAAACGAATTCAAGCGCACCGCTCTCACACCCCACGCCACTCCACACCCTCACTTCCCAGCATGCATCACACACGAAAGAGAGAGAGAGAGAGAGAGAGAGAGAGAGAGAGAGAGAGAGAGAGAGAGAGAGAGAGAGAGAGAGAGAGAGAGAGAGAGAGAGAGAGAGAGAGAGAGAGAGAGAGAGAGAGAGTGTTCGCGCGCACGCGTGTGTATGCAGAGATGCATATGCAGTGTATATAAAAATTGGGACACTTTTTGGTTAAAAAAAAATACAAATGTGTATTAAATACAAATAAATATAATAATACATTTATATATATATATATATATATATATATATATATATATATATATATATATAAGTTTTCATGTAAATTTGGACGATGCAATTGGTAAGAAAAAGAAAAATATTTTTTTCAAAATGTTAAAGAATAACATCATTAAACACACACTAGCGGATTGAGTTCATGATGATGATGTCATGCACAACTCTGGGCTCCTTTTTCAAAATGTCTTGGAACCAGTAATAACCTGGTTTGTTGTTTTGTTCACAAAACCATTTATTTCCATTAGGTTTTGCATATTTAAAAGCTTACATCGTTACAAAAGAAGCTTTAGCACGTTTGCTAGTTCCTTGATTGTTTGTCCCTTTCATACTTTCTTCACTCCACTGATAGGCTACCTCTCCTGTTTAGCTGACATGTTTTCCGTATTTTTTTTTCCTTTCTGGCTATAGCTTTGTGACATTTTCTGCAAAAAACAAACAAACAAAAAACAATTCTTTTATAGGATGTCCCACTTTAGCAGAATGCTACTGTCCCATTTTATCTAACACTTTGAGGTAAATTGGGACTGTAACAAAACTTGATATCAAAATATATATATACAATCGTTGCATAAAATGTAATTATCACATGAATAGATGAAATAAAAATGTATATTGTATATTGAGATACTGTTTGCATTAGAAATGAAAACCTAACAATTGTATTACACTTAAACTATGTATGGGTACTTAACATGTGCTTTCTCAGACATTCCAGCACTTGAGTAGGAACCACATCCGCATGCTGTATGGTTCATATTTGACCAAACAAATTTCAGATTTTGTAATGTTGACATTTCAACACCACCCAGCATTATCGCACTTTTTTTTAAAAGAACTACTCCAAAGAGCTTATTTGTCTCATTTTAGCTGATGTCCCACTTTTGCTGACTTCACCCTATATGAGTGTGTGTGTTTTTATTTATATATGTAGATTTATATGTGTGTGTGTGTGTGTGTGTGTGTGTAGGTGCAGTTCCTGCATTGCGTCTGTCAGGCTGAACAGGGTGGTGAGAGTGAAGTGGTTGATGGGTTTCACATGGCGGAGCAACTCCGGAGAGAAGATCCTGAAGCGTTTAACATCCTCTCCTCTCTCAGGGTCGATTTCACAGACAGCGGATCTGACTACTGTGACTTCAGCGTGCAGTCCAAAAACCACATTATAGAGTAAGACAGACTGTGACGCATACATACTCACTCACATAATAATGCAATGGATTAGCTTTGCCACTTGTAATCATCATCATCATTAACTATACATCAATAATATACTAAACAGCACCATCTCATGGTCAGTTATGCAACTGTGACTATACAAATGGATATTTAAAGGGATAGTCCATTGAAAAAAAATCATCCACTCTTGTACGAGTTGCTTTCTACAGTGTAACACAGAATTGTACTGGTTGATTTTTTATAAACGACACCAAGACACTGTAAAGTTCCCAAAAAATCCTACAGACGACCTGACAGCTGGGTGAACATAACACACTCGACGTGCTGCAGAAATATGCGCATGCCCTTTTTTTGCATATTCCAGAGGGAGGGGTTGATGTAAATGTGTGGGTTAGTGACGTACCATAACCCAGCTGTAGTCCCAATCGAGTCATTTTTGTAGGCAATATACTTCCTGATTTTTAAAGGACGATATCTCTGCTTACACTGACCTTTCAGCGCTGCAACTTTGCAGATACTGTTCATGCACCAACAGCAACATTACACACTATTTAAAATGAAAAAAGTGAAATCGCAATCAACCCCCCCTTTAATACAAAAATGTCTGTAACGTGCAGTGTGGACTCTGATGGTCGGGTTGTGAGGATCAACTATAACAACGCCACAAGAGACTCTGTGCTGGATCTGCCTCTGCATCAGGTTCAGCTTTTCTACTCGTCTCTAAAGGCCTTTGTGGAGCTGCTCAGCAGGCCTGAGAATGTGTTCACATACAGAATGGAACCAGGTCAGTGCGTCTGTTTACCTACGTATTTCAGATTCAGATGGTTTCAACTCGCATTTGTACAATAGTTGACAAAGATTAAGCTTTCCTCTACATTAGAAGGCTTTTGAATTTGGGACTAGACTCAGTCTGTGTTTTGCATTTAAAATCCAATGCCAAGGTTTTCAAAAACATTTACTAGAATTATTCCAAATTTGAAGTACTTCAAATCCATAAGGCTTCCCCATTGCCGCTATACTTACTAAACCAAATATGACAACATTAGAATTGAAACTCTTTTTGCACGTCTAAATAAGAGACTGATGCTGGTTGTTCATTTGATCTCTGCGCAGGTGACTTGGTGACCTTTGATAACTGGCGTCTGCTGCATGGCCGAAAGAGCTACCTGTCACGAGGGCAGAACTCAAGACATCTAGAAGGAGCATATCTGGACTGGGATGAGGTCATGTCCCGTCTCAGGGTCCTCCGGAAGACTGTTCGTGGAGAAAGCTAGACATCTCTTCATTAGTAACTTTAAAAACAACTCGAGAAAGCTTTAAAAAAGTTTTGGATCCCTAGGGATATTTTCTGTTCATTTAAGTTTTGGCAAGTAGATATTTGGGCTTCTGTAGTTAATATTGTGGCCTTTTACTGAGGGGCTCTTTGAGTCTCCAGCACTTTCTTGCGTATACAGTACATCTTGCACATACAGTGCTTGGAAAGGACAGACTTGTGCTTGACTTGTAATTTTTTTGATAAGGGACAAATTTTTTCAGAGGTCTTATTAAGAATCGTATTAAATGAATGATCACAAGAGTCAGTGAAGTTTTGTTAAGAACTAAATATCTCGCTTCTCTGTGGACAACTGCCTGAAGTATCGTATTAGATACTGGGTTTATTCCAATCCACCAATGTTTTTGTCATTCATATGGTCCATGCTATAAAAAGTGACAACTCTTAAGTACGAGATGGCATCAACAGAGCTAAAAAAGAAAGTTTTATCCAATCTCTGATTATGTCTTACATTTTGTCTTATCGTTCTAATGGTAAAGACTATCATACCGTCATGATTTATGGCACTGTTTAAATGCAGTCATTTTAATATATATTGATTTTTACCAATATTGTTTATATTCTGCTTGTTTTGCACTTAATTTTACTGTAGATTAATGAACCATTTTTATTTCTTGTATTATATTGTAAATTGAACAACGATGGGCCATTGACCTTTGAGAAAAATGTTTTCAAGTGGCACAAAAATAATTACAAGCTGATGTCTAAAACAAAGTATCTCTGTTTTGATATATGGATATCGGATAGTTCATTCAAATATGATCAGTACTTGTGTATACTGATTGCCATGTGCAGTAGACATTAAGCTATTTAATACTTGAAAAGCCTCAAATATTACGTTTTTAAAGAAAACTGGCCAGTGTGTAAATGCAGCAACAATGCAAATATAACTCATGCAGCTATTAGTTTATAAAACTGTTGGAGCTGACGTGTTACATGTATTGTTTTGGCAAATCTTTATTATATTTTTTTTTTTTCCAAAATGACAATAAAATACATTTATAATATACCTATACATAAGGCATTCATGTACTTATACAAATACTGTGGCTATAAATCTTCTGATTATACCAGAGGTCAGTTTTTGAATGTTGCTAATCAAGAGGTTTTTGATAAAAAAATTAAAATAAAAAAATAACATTTGAAAATGAACTCTAAAATGTAAAACAGTGATTCAATTATGATTCTATCAGTATTTATTTAAAAACATTACATTTGTGTTTTGATGTTGATTTTCTAGTTAAATTGAAGGATTTGACATTAATAGAAATTTAAATGCTCCTGAAAATCAAAAATATCAATTTATATATATATATATATATATATATATATATATATACATAAAAAGTGAGTATGTGATACTGTTGATAGCTTGTATAATGAACTGTAATTCTCATAGTAAAATTACCTTCAGTCACAGATTTGGGTTGGACATCTTTTATTTTCATATTGCGAAAGCTGTACAGGTTCTATAAATATTTTTAAATGCTGAAATATTTACATCCATGTCTCTATTCATTCCTTTCCCTCTGATTCTAAACAATACAGACTAAAATGAAAGCCCAAATAATGTGCAATTGTAGATCTCACTCACACTTTCAAACAACAGACCTGATACACTGTCCACCTCAAAACATCTGTTTTGGAGACTTGGACTCTGGGAAATCAGTTTTGTGCTATTTACATCTCTAAATCATTAATGAGTGGGCTTTTCAATTGCATTTACAGTCTGCATTCAACAACGGAACTGAATGGAGTCACAAAACAACAGCTTTTTTGTGCACATTCATACACGTGAATGATTAAAAATGTGAGCAAAACATAAAAGAATATTAAAATATGTGAATGTGACGGCTGTACTGCCCAATCTAGTAGTCAAGAAGAGATGACTAGAGAAAATTTGCCCCTCGAAGAACAGACAAACTCTCTTTGTCATCTGTGTTTCTAACACAAACACACACAAACAGAAAGAGGACACTTCAAACAGGACATTTTGGACAAGACTTTTCCAACAATCTCCAAATGTAGCTGTCCTCTAGATCAATAATGCCATTTTCATTGCTGTCAAAAAACGGCAACAAACTAACAGAAAACATAGAAGCGATGCCGGTCACCTCATTATGAACACTGGAGGACAGTGGATGAACTCTATAAGGACGTGACTGGACTTGTTCTTGGTACGCACTAGTGAGAGTATTGCACATCTAGAAAACAAACTACAGTTTTTCATAAACATTTCTGTTGCTTTTTCAGCATTGCTTCAGGGATGTACAGATATCTTCCTTTTTTAAATATTCATTATTTTCAAGTGACATGCATTTTAACACAGCAGTTCACAGACAGGGAACTTTACAGCAGAAATAGCACAGCAGTTTGAGCCTCACATGGCAAGAGCTAAAGAGATACACTTATAGCAGTTAAAGGAGGGAGAAACAGACATTTAGGAATGGGACGGAGGGTTAAGGCAAACCCCTCATACGTGGCAGCGCAAGATTGGAAAGACTTGAACATTTCACCCACAACAGACAGTACAGACTGGAATTTACAGTACAACTTCGCACATAAATATTAAATACACAGCCTGTTGACTTATATCAGCCTGATCTCTGCATGCCAGTGCCAACTCGCAAGAGCAGCGCATGGGACGTGCATTCAACCAAATGCCTCCGATTGCAATAAATAAAACTGTATAAATGGGGGGAGGGGGGCGCCAACCAATAGTATTCAAAGTCTATTCTTGTTCTGGTTGGTCCATACTATGAGAATGAAACGCCAGCATTTTAGTGTCGGACTGGAATACTATATCGGGTACGTCACAAGATCTATTATATGAATGGGTCGTTTCTTTTAGGACAGATGCGTTGAAAATGTGAATTGGTACAGGAGCAGAGGTCCTGAAAGGAGCATGGCAAGAGTGTCAGCTTGTATTGAAACAGTTGTATTGCAGGAGTTCAGGAGTGGGCTGAAGTAAACGTAGGAGAGAAATGTGCTAGCTCGGTAGTGGACGAGGGGACAGCATCTTGGGCTTGCCCTCTGACTCTTTCCCTTTGACCGCCGCCATGTAGGAGAAGAGGCAGAGCACCGAGTAACAGATCTGATTTGCCTGTTTGAGACAGAAGAGTTAACACAGGGTTATTTACGTGAAAAAGGGGGGGGGGGAAAGTATATCACTCTATACTGTATTGTAGGGCTAGGCAAAAACACGGATTTCCCTGTTCTTTTCAGTGAATCAAAGACATCCAGGTCGACCAGTGTATTCCCGCAACTGAGATATGGAGAAAAAAGCCTTGAGGGAACTAGTCACCTGATGGAGTTTGGGTTCTTTGCCAGTGTCGCTTTTGGCTTGCATAGTTGGGGTTTAAAAGACACTTAATAATCAGTAATATTATCGATTTAACTGCACTGACTAACTTGAACTGAATTGAGCTGGATTTACTATGTATTTTTCAACCTTTATAATATATTACCAAACCCTTGAGATGGTACAGCGACTTAACAATAGGTTAAATGACACGTTTGCCAGAGCTTGACAGTGTCTGTATCGCTTTTACTGGCACTATGTAACTTCGGTTTTTCGGGAAGGAACCCGAGCACAAAAAGAACCAAAACGGCATACGTCACTTCCCCCGCCACCCAAACTTCCTACGATTCTGACGTGAGAACTCAACTCGCGTTTGATTGCCGTCTGTATGTTTTCATCTTGACCGAACCAATAGCTACAAGGAAGAAGGCAAAGGTTTTGTCAGAGGACACAAAAAAAAAAAAAAGAAAAAGGGAGAGTGACAAATTAAAAGCCCGGATGAGGATCAACATTGGTCCAGCGTTCGCTCGCTGGCGTGAGCTAAAGGAGGAGGAGGGGTGCCCGACCGATGCTGACCTGGGCGTCATGTTTTTGGACTAGTAAGTTAAATATAGTGCTAGAACACTATCTCTATTTTTTTTCATCTCAAATTTGTTGTCTGCCAGCCCTACTGTGCATAGTATTGTATGAATACTGAAATCTTACCATGGGAGTCTTGTACTTATGGATCACCACTTCTTTAGTTTCAGGAACTGCAAATCCCGTGCAAGAAACAAAATGAAAAGTTCAACAGCAGTGGAAATAACAAATTTGAATTATTCAAGGGCAAGGGCGGAAACAGAGAGAAGAGAGAGAGAGAGAGGAGGGGAGGCATACATACAGTACGATACGGCCCATGACAAATGATTATCAGTCTATATCTGGCCCTGCCACATTTCAGACAGAGGCAAGAGCGCACTGAATTTTACAGCAGAAGAGGCAGCACTCATATAGTTCATATGACTGAACAGGATTTATCATCAGCTGAGAAACTCTTATGCAATGGGAACTGAATCAAGGCAGGCTCAAGAGGAGAAAGAAAGAGTGAGAGGGGTGGAGGATAGATGGAGAAATCCAAGAGAGAGAGAGAGTAAGAGAGGGAATTTCATTGCAAGTTGAAAGTCGGAAGGAAATCCGAGGTCTGTTGGGTTTTTCCATCACTGGCATGACTTTTACTACAGGCATGAGTGTATGAACTCGAGTTTAGAGCGACATCTGACATATGAAAGCAGTGCAGTGCAGATGAGGAGTCGACAGCCATAAGTGGTGAAAGAGGGTGTATGAGAGATGATGACAGATGGAGAGTTAAATGAGGACAGGTGAGGGAAGAGAAGAAGAAAAGATAAAGGTGACAGCACTTTACCTGCTGGAGAATGAAGGTTTTCATAGCAGCAAAGATGAGGGGCGGATTACAAAAAGGAAGCACAAAGACACAGCAATAACCCAGTCTAGAGCCGACCTATGGCTACAGAAGAGATTTCATACACTACAACTCCCTTCATATAGATCTCCAAAAGAACCAGTTAAATGATCTTTGCACCGTTTAGTCATTATCTAAAGTCTACCAAGACTTCTATTCTGAAGACTATGACAAACATTAAAGCCATACTGTGACTCCTTCCAAAAGATGCATCTGAGGAAACAACTGCAATCTAAATCTATGCTGATCATTGAATTATTCGCAGAACAACTTGAACTGTGTATTATTTCTCAAAGCCGCTGCTGTCGTTTAAGATTTTGCAGAATCCTTTACCCCTTCCTCC